TATATTACTGAAGGTTCGCTTTCTGTACTTTGCTGAAAAGGGTCTTGTTTTTTAAAGTCATGTTTGTACTCCACAGCTTTCAGTGCAGTAGCACAGAAAACCCAACTTCTGTGGAATCCAGAATCTTGAACCAATGTTCTTTCTTCTGGTTATGTGGACAGGATTTGCATGCTGATCCTATGGTTTGTCCTACTCCTTCCTTCACATGTACAGTTTGCCAGGCAATGATCACCACAGTGGGATGTGCATCTGGTGGGTGAAAGCTGCCCTTGCTGCCCACCCTGTGCAAAATGAATAAATACTGGAAACAACAATTTCTACCCACTGGTAGAAAAAGCCTCAAGTTATCAGACAATCTACCAAAACATTTTCCTTTGAAAACTCAGAACCCATAATATAAACATAGATTTCTAGGTGCAACCCCCCCCCCCCAATATCTAGTCTTATTCCTGTCATCAGCTGAACAAACTGAGTTGGACCTACAATTTAAAATTAAGCTGCGCTAGGATGCCCCAGGATAGCCTGACCTCTTCAAATCTCAGAAACTAAGCAGGCTAGTACTGGATGGGAGACCACCAAGGAAGTCCAAGTTTGCTACATAGAGGCAGGCAGTGGGGAACTACCTCTGTTCATCTCTTGCCTTAAAAACCCTGTGGGGTTGCCACAACTCAGCTGCGACAACAGTAAAAAAAAAGTCTATTTTGCAATATGTCAGCAATTCAGTTCTGTTCTTTTGTTATTTTGATTGACTTACTGCCCATATATACTGTATAGAGAGTTGAAGTGTGTGAATGTCAGGGTCTCCCTTGTTTTCTGTTACCTGCCATTCTTCACCTTGAATTATTCGTTCCTGAAATGCTTCCTTTCACATCTCTCCCTTATGGGCTAATGCTGTTACTTTCTGCATTGTTTGTCATAGCCTTTTTTGGTCTCCTTGTCAGGTATTTTGAGGTTCAATTATTCCTTGTTACAACTGAAGAAGCTGGTACAAATTTGTTTACTTTGCAGGTCATAGATCGCATATTAGCTTTTTTTGGGATAAAGAATAATTTCGATTGAAATATATCTAAAACTGGTTGCTTTGTTCCCATATTTTTTGAGCCATTTCCTTGCTGTTGACCTACTGTTTGTACCCCAGTTAATTATTAACATTAGTGCCTACTGAAATAGCACTAATATCAAATTAAAATGAAGTGGAGAAAAGAAGGGAGTGTGTGTTAAACAGGTTAATCAGAGCTGCCAGTCACTTTAACTGGAAATGAGTTTCACTAAAACCATCTGTACTTCTTGTCTTTTCATCCATAAAATATCATGCTCCTAATAAATAAAAAGCATTCATTAGATACTCAAATTCATTGTTTCTAGTGTCAGTGACTGGTAACAAAATTCTATTATATATTCTAGGTCCATGTGTTCAAGATCACATCCTTGTGGTCAGCAAACATAGCAAGTCTAGCTACTTTTCATAACCACTGTTGTGGGTTGCAATTTTCACTTCACACACATATGCCCTTGAAGGGTGGAAAAGTACGCTGACTGTGACTAATGAAAAGGTGTCCAAAGGGTCTTGAAGGTAGTTAATATGTATTATTTCTACACACCCTGTAGGGCTATCACTGCTATTAACATTTCATTTCAATACAAGTACACTTGAGAGTAGGAGCTGCGGTGGCTCAAGTGGTTAAGATGCTGAACTGCAGGCTGTGGAAGGTCAGTAGTTGAGCAGTTCGAGACCCAGGGTGCCGCATGACGGAGTGAGCTCCCATCTCTAGTTCCAGCTCCTGCCAACCTAGCAGTTCGAAAGCAAGAAATTGCAAGTAGATAAATAGGTAGTGCTTTGGTGGGAAGGTAACAGTGTTCCATGCACCTTGGTGTTTAGTCATGCCGGCCACATGACCATGGAAACATCTTCGGACAGCGCTGGCTCTTCAGCTTTGAAACGGAGATGAGCACCGCAACCCTAGAGTCAGATTCGACTGGCTTTCGAGCAAGGGAACCTTTACCTTTACTTACACTTGAGAGTACCGGAAGTACAGAGGCTGCATGAGTGAATGTGCACACAGATTCAAGTTTCTACACTAGTAGCCCTTTGTGGAACCAGGCATGTGTTTCCTTTTTTTTTGTCCCCCCATAGGGGATTTTTTAATTGCATTTTTCTATAAACTACAATGAAAAATGGGAGGGGAAACTACATCTATGGGAGAAAGGAAAGAAAACCACTAAAAACTTAAGTATAGGAGATCATTACAAAAGCTTGTATCAGTGTTAGTCTAAAATGCTAAGATTACATTGAACATGGTCGATTAAGCTATATTATTTATCTTTAAAGCCATTATTTTAACTGTTTAAAGAAAATCACAAGAGCATCGTTAGCAAAAACAAACAAACTTCAAGGCACAGATCAGAGTTCTTCAGCCTTCACTTTATTTTATCTTTTCTAATCCTCAATTGGTATTCTCATTTGCCGCCCCTTTTTCTGAAGTACAGTCCTCGTTGGAAGTAGCGGTGTCCATTTCATCACTAAGTTTGCTGTCGTCTTCATCCTTGCCGTCCTCTCCTGACTCTCCCAGTTGCAGTCTCAGGAACTCACGCACTTTGGAAACAGAGTCAGTTTTTTCTTTTTTATCCTGCAGTTTGAAAATGAGGCTTTAGATTCTCTTCTTTTGCTTCCAGGACTCCTTGGAACTGGAGGACTAAGTTAGCTTTCTCCATTTGTAGCTGCAAAAGTTGAAGTTCGTCTGAAGCTTGCTTCTTTTCCAGCATTTGGACCTTTTTCTTAACTTTTTTAGATTTGGCATCCATTTCCTTCACTTTCTCAGCTGTTTGCTCCGTCTTTTTTGTAGTTTCAGTCAATTGGAGCTTGTGAGCGGCAAGATTCTGGTTTAGAGCTGTTAGCTGTTGATTGATATTCGTCATCTGGTCCAGTAGAGGGCGCAGAGTCCGCTAACAGTTTAGAAAACTCAGTGGTATCTTCCGGTTGCGGGCTCATGCTCCCCGGTGGTTTCACTTTTGCTTGTCTGTCTTTCTCTCTTTTTTTCCATGCCATGTTTATGGATTGTTTACTTTTTTAAGTACTTGCTAAAGTCTCTGAAATTCGCCCAAACACTTATTGGCGCTCTGGTTGATTTCGTAAAACAGATTTCAACGCTTAAACTTCAGCTCCCCCTTGGCAAATCGCTGTTATATTTATGCATATGGGAGGGACCCCTCCCCCACTCACTCGCTCATCCCGTCGTTCCCAGGGGGGGGTTCTTTTAAATTCCTGGCATTTCGCTTTTACTTGACTCACTGTTCATTGGTGGTCTGGAGACCTTGCTGAAGGTATGTTTTATACGCCCGATCTCCAACGCTTGTCTCAGTCGGCGGCTCTAGAACCAGGCATGTGTTTCCCTACTTTGCCAGCATACTTACATATAGGAAATCTCTGGAGAAGCAACGCAAAACATTTGTAATTAAAGTGTAAATAAGTTTATTGTACTAGCTCCACAATTCTCAGGTTTTGAAGAGTGTCTCTTTATGATGTATAGTCTGATATGAAGGAGATTTGAATTTAAGATTTCCATTTGACTGGTCAGAACTCCCCAGCAACAACACCTTGGCCAGGTATTGGCCAATGATCAAAAACATTAGTCTTTGGAACAATATGTTTAATTATTTATTCCCAAAACTAGGGAACGGTGATGATTGTAGGAACTGTGGTCTGATGTTTTCTTTACAGCAATATCCCCAGTCACGGAAGACCCAGTTTCCCCTACTTCATACTGTTGTCTTAGTGGCAGTCCTCCCTCCTGGACACTTGTGACTTTGTTTACAAATATTCTGGCATGTAAGTCTGAGTGCCTCTGAGGCACATACCGAGCGATATTATTTTACAAAGGAAGTGTCTCCTTCCTCACCTCTCTGTAGCTTAAGGAATCCGGTCCTATGCCTTTCTTTCAGCCTGTCCACCAGATGCAGTGCTGCCTGAACGTGGTCTGGGGATGAGATGGCAGACAAGTCATTCAGCCAAGAAGGGGATGCTTGGGCCCTCCTCTAGATTTACCATCAGTCTAGCACTTATTTGTCTCTTTTGCCTGAAGCATCTTGCAAAATACAACTACCACATCATGTGATGTATTGTTGTGTATGTGTGCACTATAAGAGTACAACCGTGCCTAATAACAGCCAACAGTGTTCAGCAGGAATGTTCTGGCACTTGGCAAAGAAGGTGAAATTCTGGCAACCCTAGATCTGTGGCTTTTGGGCTACTTGTGTGGGCTGAGGTTTACTTTCTGTTTTTCCCTGATGTTTGTGTCCCTCTTTCTGTTTGGAGATGCCTACAGTTACAGTGAATGACCTATTATAAAAGCTGAGCAGAGCTGCTGAAATGAGGGGAGGACAGAAGTCTTTCTGGAGAAAGCTGCAGGGTGATATGGATGAGCTCGCTCCTAAATGTGAAATCCCAACAACTGGAAAGCTGGTCACAAAGTCCTCAGGAACATGAGATGATAAGAATGACTGCCAATTACACAAGGGTGTGCCTTCCTGTATTGAAATATTTGACTCAGTACAAAATGAACTTCTCTTCTGATTATTTCCAGGCAACATGTTGCATTGTGCTCTCCCCTGTTCTGTATTTCCGTGCCTATGTGATACTAGTATCATCACGAGATTTCTCTTTGATCTGCCTGACCTCAGCAAGGGATGAGGGTGTACTGTTATTTGGCACTGTTATAAATTTCACTCAATGTACAGTCCCCCCCCCCCCGCAACTTAGTAGGAATATCCCTTAACCAGTATCAACAATGCCTGTGGTAATATGCTCAATTTAAGTTTTTTATTCCTGTTTTGTTTTTCAGACCAAAGCACTGCCATGAAGGGTGAAGACTTCCTTTCCCCCTCACAGATATGTAAACTGAAGTTTGGTCCACAGCCATGAACTGTGACACTGCCCTTAA